GCCCTTGGAGTCAGGAAGACCTGGGTTCACATCCTGCTTCTGATGCTTAGGAGCTCCATAGCCATGGACGGGTCCATTCATTTCAACTCAGCATTTATTGAGTATCTAGTGTGTGAGGTACATAGTACAGAGGGGAAGTGTGGCCTAGTGGTGAGAGAGCCAGCCTCGGAGGCACACACACACTCACACATACACACACACACACAATCACACACACATACACTCACATAGTCACACACAGACACTCTCACACACATTCACATACACTCACGCTTAGTCACACACATACACTCACACACTCACACTCCCACAGTCACACACATACACTCTCACACACACACACACTCACACAGTCACACACTCCCACTCCCACAGTCACACACATACACTCACACACATTCACATACACTCATGCTTAGTCACACACATACACTCCCACAGTCACACACATACACTCTCACACACTCACACAGTCACACACACTCTCACACACTCACATACTCAAACACAGTCACACACATACACTCTCTCACACTCACACACACACTCTCACACACACACTCACAGTCACACACATAAACTCTCACACACTCACACACACATACACGGGTGCTCTGCTGACCCTTCCAGGGTCACTGACTGTCCCAGTGTCCCAGGCTCCTCTCTAAGGGGACATACTCAGAACAGCTGCACGTTTCCCCGTTAGACTGTAAGCCGCTTGAGGGCAGGGACTGTCTTTTGCCTCTGTGGAGGGAGGGAGTCGCAGGCTCCGGCCTGGGCCTGAGAAGAGCAGCTTCGGGGTCCCCATGCGCCCCGCAGCCAGAAAGGTCGGCCTTGTTTGCAGCCTCCCTCTCCCTGCCTGCTCCTGGCCTGGCACTTCCTCCGGCTGTGACAAGTCGCCCCGCCTGGTACCTGCTAGGGGCCAGTCATCCCAGACGTGCTTCCCACAGGTTTATCATGAAGGCACAAAGAAGATGAGCCCGGTGCCTCTGGAAGATCAGAAGCAGTGGAAATAAAAGGAATGATGGAGGGAGCACTGGGGAGGGGCTGGCCTTGGCCTTGGGGGCTCTCTCCATAACGCTCTGAGCCCCTAACTGCCCCATTTTACAGATGAGAAAGCTGAGGCTAGAGGGGCTCAGTGACTCACCCAGAGTAACACCCAGGGCTGGGATTCCAGTCTGGGTCTTTGGCCCCCAGATCTCATGTCCTTCCCTCTGGACCACACTGGAAAGCCAGAGGACATACTGTGCCGACCGAGCGTGCCAAATACACAACGTCTCAAAGTCCTGCTTGCTGCAAAGCACGGATCCAGCCTCGTGCCAGGGACAGGAATCACCCGGCCATCTCTCTCTGTCCCCCTCGGGCCACTAAAGTGACTTTCTTAAGACAGAGGTCTGAAGCACCCTCCCCACCCACTCCTGTGGCCTCCAGGATCAAATGCAAAATCCTCAGTTTGACATTCAAAGCCCCCCCAGCCCCAGGCATCTTACCCTTGCCCCCCTGCGTGGACTCTTGGGTCCAGCAACCCCAGCCTCCTGGCTATTCCAGGAACAAGACCTTCCCCCTCTGGGCTCTGGGTACTCTCTCTGACCACCCAGGCCTGGACTGCCCCCGTTCGCTCCATTTACCACCACCCCCACACCCTCTTTCTTTAGGTCCCCACTAAAATCCCATCTTTTCCAGGAATCTTCGCCCGGCCCCTCTCCATCCTACTGCCCCCACTCTGTTAATCACGCCTATTCTTGTGTGTAACTTCTTTGTACACGTGTGATTGCATGGTGTCTCCCCCATTAGATGGTAAACTCCTTGAGGGCATGCTCTGTCTTTTGCATCTTTTTGTATCCCCAGCACCTTGCACTCGGGGCAGCTAGGTGGCACAAGCCTGGAATCAGAAAGACCTGAGTTCACATGTAGCCTACCCTGGGCAAGTCGCTTCCCGCTGTTTGCCTCAGTTTCCTCATCTGTAAAATGAGCTGGAAAAGGAAATAGCCAATCAGTCTGGTATCTCTGCCAAGAAGACCCCAAATGGGGTCACGAAGAGTGGAGCATGACTGAAACAACAGAGCAGCGGGGCGCTGAGCCCAGGGCCTGGCACATTCTAGGCTCTTAGTGTTTATTGATTGAGCAAGCGAGCCTTTTTGCTTTTGGTATGCAAAGCAACCTTTGAACTGTGCCGTAAAAACCCCTGAATTCTTTCCCTGGGCAAGCTAAATAGACTTGTGAATAAAGGCCGAATATCCCAGTGAAATTATTGCCTCCTGGATTCAGAGCTGGACAGAGCTCTTGTGGGACCAGAGATTTCAAGGTAAAAGGGACCCTGAGGACCTCGATCCAGTGTCTTCATTTTACAAATGAGGAAACTGAGGCCCAGTAGGGGGAAAGAGACCGGTCTAAGGTCACACAGGTAAATTCCCAGAAGCAAAAGTACGTTCTCTTTGGAGTCAGAGGGCACTGGACCTCTGCTTACTGGGTAACCTCTCTGGGTCTGAGTTCAGTGACCTCCAGGATCCCTTCCAGATCCACACTTGGGATCCTGTGAAACCAGGGTTGGAAAGCTGGCTCTCTGTCCCCAAAACTAGCACCCTTTCTTGTGTTTTTAATATTTTCCCCCAGTTGTATGTAAAAACAATTTTTAGCATTCGTTTTTTAAAATTTTGAGCTCCAAATTCTCTCCCTCCTTGCCTGAGACGGTGAACAAATTGGTATAGATTATACATGTGCAATCATGCAAAACATGTTTCCGTCTTAGTCATGCTGTGAAAGGAAACCCAGAACCCCCCCCCCCCCCCCCCCGAAGAACACTGAGAAAAATAAAGTGAAATATAGCTGGCTTCAGTCTGTGTTCAGAATCCATCAGTTCTTTGTCTGGAGGCAGAGAGCATTTTCAGTCACGAGTCCTTTGGAATTATCTTGGAGCATTGTATTGATCAGAGAAGCCAAGTTTTTCACATTGTACAATATTCTTCTGGTTCTGTTCACTTCACTTTGTATCAGTTCAGATAAGTCTTCCCAGGTTTCTCTGAAACCCTCCTCATTATTTCTTATAGCACAATCATAAAGCACAGCATGTACAGCCATTCCCCAATGGATGGGCATCCCCTCAGTTTCCAATTTTTTGCTACCACAAAAAGAGCTGTTATAAATATTTTTGTACATAGAGGCCCTTTTCCTTTTTGTTTTTTATCACTTTGGGATACAGACCTAGCAGTGGTATTGCTGGGTCAGAGGGTATGCAAGATTTTACAGCCCTAGCACCCTTTCCTCAATGCCAGATTTTTGATATTATTCAGGTCAATTCCACAAACAGGCTTGAAGGCATTTTCCTGACCTTTGACTGTTTCCTGACTTTCTGCAGACACTTGGTCCTAGAATCACAGAATCTCAAGAGATGGATTGATAGCAGGATGGGTGGGTAGTTGGGTGGAGAGAAGGATGGATAGATGAAGAGGGAGGAAGGAGGGAAGGAAGGAAACTTGAGAGATATAGATACAAAAATGGTTATTTTCTCTGACCTCAAGGGGCTTAGATTCTAATAGGAGAGAGAAGCATTTATGACATCCCCACTCTGTGCCGCATTTTCCTTAGTGCTGGAATGTAAGCTCCTTGAGGGCAGGGGCTGTTTCTTTTTGAAAGCTCCAGCACTCAGACACTGTGCCTGGGCATTTGGTAAGCACCACATAGATGTCTGTTGTTGACTGACTGATTGATTGATTGATTGATTGATTGGAGATGCAGATATAAAGTGAAAGCCCCAGGCCTTGTTCTGACAGGATGTCCTTGCTGGGACATCCTCCAGAAGCACTCCAGCCACCCCTTTTCCTTCGCCTGCCACTCTGGAGGCTGCAGGGCGTTTGCCTCCCTGCTGGATTCTTGGCCTAGAGCTCGGGCAGCCACACCTAAGGGCCACCTGCCTCCCATGAGTCAGCGCAGCGCCGGGCATTCGCCTGGCCTTATATGGCGAATATTCCCTGCCTTCCTGGCCCATAGCCTTGTGTCATTATCACCTGGAATGTTGCCTGCAGAGCCAGAGTGGTAGAAGATCAAGGTCCCCACCATTTCCTGTGCTTCCTGGGCAGTGTCTAGAGAGGGAAATGTGGCCTAGCCCCGAGCAGGTGGGGAAGGCCTGAGGAGGAGGTGGAGGCTTGCAGGCCCAGCCTAAGCCCCATGTGCTCCAGCGTCCAGGAGGTGTCTGGTCCACCACCCGTCCTACTCCCCTGTGTCGGTCGCTGGGTGTCCCCCAGGATTTGGGACAGCTACCTCCTAGGCCCTCCTTCTGTCCCCATTTTTGGATGTCCTTTAATCCGTTACATATTGCAATCCCCAGGGGTGCTGAATAAATGTTTGTTGAATGGAGTCCTAACAGAAGGCATGTTGGCAGTAATGATGGTGTCTGGCATTTAAGGTTTCAGAAGCACTTTATAGACTTGACCTCATCCGCAGCTCCCAGCGGCCCTCGGGGAGCCGCCACCTGCAGGCTGGGTGACCCGGGGCAGGTCACTCGCCCTTTCTCCAGGGCCCCTGGACACTCTCAGAAGTCTGCCGGCTACTGAGCCAGGGTGACTCTTCATCGATAGAAGGGCACGTGCTCATAGACTTAGAGCCGGCCAACAAGCCCTGTCCCCTCATTTTACAGATGGGGAAACTGAGGTCCAGAGATGTAGTGACCTACCCAAAGTCACCCAGCTGCTTGGTTAATGGAGGCGGCATTCATGCCCGGGTTCTTTGGGTCCAAAACCAAATTCAAAAAATCCCAGAAGTCTGTGAGAAGTTTCCCAGGAACCAAGCAGCTTGAGCCATTCATTTCGATCCAGAGAGCACTTATTAAGCACCTGCTGGGTTCAGGGCACTCCTCTGCACACTGAATAGCCGCCTCAGGATGCCCCAGTCTCTGGGCAGACTTCTACCCCTGGATTTTGTAAAACTGCAAACTGTAGCCATGCTGTTTGACATTTTAAAGAGATAATGTCACTTGCTTTAAAAACAAAAATGTGTCTTTTCAGATCTCATCCGAAAACTCATTGAAGATGTCTAGCAAAACTAGCAACACCAACAGCGTGGCCCAGGCCCGGCGAACTGTCCAGCAGTTGAGATTAGAAGCGTCCATAGAGAGGATTAAGGTAAGACTTGTCTAGTTTCACAAGTGTGGGAAAGTCCCTTCACTAAAGCATATTGCAGCCCAGCTGTGTCACCTGAGGTGCTTGGAGGGAAGGGAATGATCGCTGTGTCCCCTCCACATTTCTCTGTGCCAGTGATGGTTCATCCCACTTGGAAGAAGCCCCCCAGAGTGGGAGGATTCAACGGGGGGAGGGGGGATTCAATGGTCTCATCCTGCACCTCTAGTTTTTCATCTCATAAATGCCATCTTCAGTTGGGCACCCTTAGAATAGCTTGGAATGGAGTTATCTGACATTGATACTCTTTTCTTTGGCGCCCCTCTCTTCCCTCACTCTGCTCCTTACCACCTCAGAAGTGAGGCAGTGGGAACAGTGTTAAGAATTTGGAGTCAAAAGGTCTGGGTTCTAATCCTGGCTGTTTCAGGATTATTACCTGTGTGACTTTGTACAAGTGACTTCACCTCTCTGAGACTCAGTTTCCACATCTGTAGAAGGAGAGGGTAGGGCTAGGTGGTCTCCAAGGTCCCTTCCAGTCCCACCTCCTATCAAGCATTAGTTTTGGAGTCAAAGGACCTGAGTTCAAATCCTGATTTTGCTGCTGCATGGCCATGAGCCTCAGTTTCTCCACCTATGAACTGAGGGCCTTGAATTAGATGACCTGAGATTCCTTCCCATTGAAAATCTATGTTACATGACTAATGTGAAAATATGCTTAATATGAATGTATATGTACAGCCTATATCAAATTGCACGCTGTCTTGGGGAGGGGAGGGGAAGGAGGGAGAGAAAATTTAGGATTCAAAATCATATGGAAGTGAATGTTGAAAACTAAAAACAAATTAATTTTAAGAAATCTGTGTTACAGTGGGAAAATGGGCCTCCAATCAGAAGTCCACTGGGGTTTGCATTTCCCCTCTGATGCTCACCTCCTGCATGGCCTTGGGCAAATAACATCTGTAGGCCTCAGTTTCTTCATCTGCAAAATGAGGGGGCTGGACAACATGCCCTGTATCTATGATCCCATGGTCTCTGGTGGGAAAATCAGACTGAATTATGGTTGATGGGACCGGTGCTATCTCCTAATACTACAGGGGTCACTGGATCACAAATTTCCCTGGGCCTGGAGACAGGACACAGACATTTAACTCTTGGACTGACCCCACCCCACAGCAGTCCTGACATTCTCTCAGGAGGCCGTGGGTATGTGTGAGGATTCCGTGGGGCTGAACTTTTGAGCCAGAGACCATGGTGGGTGATGGTTCAGGTGCCCCCTTCCCAGCCTCTGTCCGGTGGGGATGTCTTTGATTCTGCAGCCCTGCTCTGCCCCTCCGTCTCCCCTCCCCACCCCTGTTGTCTTTAACGATAAATTCAGAAATTCTGTACTTTACCCCAGGCTTGTAGTGAATTGGCTCTGGGCCCGAAACCTTCATTCATTTTTTGAACTCTGTCCCACATACCAACCTCATTTTGTCTTTTATTCAGTAGAAACTAAGACACGTCCTGCCGCTGATTCATACGAGTTTTGCAAGTTTGGAAATAGACCTTTTTTTTTTTTTAATGTCCTTACTTCTCGGTTTCTTTCCTTTCACTTTGGTTTCTGTGTCTGTCCTCCAGGTTTCCAAGGCATCTGCAGATCTCATGTCCTACTGCGAGGAGCATGCCAGGGGCGATCCTTTGCTCATGGGAATCCCGACTTCAGAGAACCCCTTCAAGGATAAAAAAACTTGCATCATCTTATAGTGGGTTAGGGAGCCTGCAGGTGCCACCCCTCCATGATCTAAGCAGCTCCATGAAGAAACGTACCTTCCGCTCACTTGGTAACCACTGCTCAAAACAAAAATGCTTTTAACTTGTAAAAACAAACACACACAAAAAAATGAGTTTTAAAGCCTTTGTTTTAAAAAGTCTCCCTCTCCTTAGAGTGTACCCTTTATGAAATGGATGCGAATCAGTCGATTTATTCTTGGTTTCCAGTTGAAATGATCAACGGTGGTTATTTCCTAGGTTGGCTTCACGTCCAAGGAACGCTGGTTAGGGTTGGTTTCTATGTAAATTCATTGTCCAGTGGTCTGCTTTTTGATTTGAGGAAAGACCAAAGTGGCCTCCTCCTCTTTCCAGATTCACCAGGCCCAGGAATCAGCAGGGCCCATGGCAAACCCAGTCTCTAAAATGCTTCGCTTCTCAGCATCCTTAATCGGGTTAGTGCCTCTCTATGTACAGAACACAAGTTATGCATGTATTTGGCGTGTATATATGGTTTTGTATATATACATTTCAAAGTGCATGTTTTCTAGTTCGAAAAACATCTTTCCCCTTCTACCGAGGCCCCCCGCTCTATTCTAGCTCATCCCGAGTTTCGCCTCTCTCCAGTTGTGTGCCAAGCCGGCCACGCGTCGGGCGGCCACCTCTGTGTTTGCCTACGGCTTCTGGGTGACGAGGGCGGCCCGAGCCCAAGAGTCGTTCTCACGATACCAAATTCTGGTCATTTTATCGTCATCCTCATCTCTCCCTTTCATTTGCTTCTCTGGTCCTCACGGCCTAAAAACAAACGGTGCCAATTTAAGAGAGCGAAAAACCAAACCCTCTTGTCATTTGAGGTGCTACGCTGTGAGGGCCCCCTTTGCTTTTCTGGACTCAGCACAGTCAGGATACAGAATCACAAAATCCCAGAGCCGGACAGTCCAACCCGTGCCTAAAAACGTATCCTCTCTGTCATCTCCCTCCTGACGGTCATCGACTCAGTCTGCCGAAGACCCTGGACACCTTCTCAGAATTGTTTTTTAATTCATAAAATAAAATACATAGGATTACAAAGGAAACTAGTTATACTGAAATCCAGTTATCAAAATATTAAAAAAAAAAAAACTAAGTTCACGGACCCTAGTGAAGAACCCTTGTTAAGATCTCATCTGACCCATATCCCATCTACACTGAGAAATGGTCATCCCCGCTCTGCTCCAAGACCACCAGTAAAGTGAACTCACTGCCTCCCAAGGCGACCCATTCCACTTTGGGATAACCTTAAAACCTAACTGAAATTTGCTTCCTTTGTCCTTAGTTCAGGCCTTCAAGGCCAAGCAGAAAAAGTCTGATTAGTAGGAGATGAAGGATGTCCATGAGCCCATTGACCAGAGGAGGGAGGGTCCATGAATGGGAGCCTGGTTCTCTCCGCAGAGAAGGAAATCAATCATCGCACTAGATTGGGGGTCCACCTCCGTCCTCTTGTAGATTATTTACTGGCCCTCTCCTTCCCCCAAAATGTCCCTCCCAGGCCTGAATCTTACGTGTTTGAAGGGTAGGCCTCATCCCCTGCGTCATCCCAGGTTGTTGATTTGTGGATGGGAAGGTTGTTTGTCCAGAAGGAACCAAGAAAGGCCCGAGGTGCTGGTGGATCTTCCAATTACCAGCTTCCTTGTCATCTAGCCCATGCTCTTCTTGGAGGCAGGAATGGGCAGTACAATAGAAATTTTAAAAAAAAGGGGGGGGTCACCTTGTCACTCCCCCTCCTCCCCAGGTTGTCCCATAGCTGAGGATAGGATATGCTGCTGTAGATCTTTCTGCTGAACTTAGATGGGCCCATAGTCTGGGCACAGCCCCTGCCGTGAGATCAAGAGGATCCCTTTTCAACTGACCACACTAAATGTTTTCAAATTGTCATTCCACTTCCGTGGATTACTCTCAGTGCCCTCATCTGTAAAATGGGCATGATCACGCAAACACTGCCCCCTCACAGGGTTGTTGTGGGGAGACTTGGAGGCACTCCAGAACTGTGAGTTATTAGCAAAATTCCTTATGAATCAAAGTTGCCAAAAAACCTCTCCAAAAAGAATCATCCGTGGGAATTCTTTATAATGGTTCCTCAATAGATACTGCATGCTGTTCTTGGAGGTGCCAACCCCCTTTGGAGATGTCTTGTTTCTGTTTTGGGTCTTGCAATGCTTTGGGGAGAAAACCATTCAAATTGTATGAGCAGTGGTCGTCAGATAGATTCTCCTGTCGTTCCCCTGTGGCTCCTCTTGTGGAGGGTGGGAGCCCTGCCCTTCCGTGGACGGGATTCCCCATCACCTCTTACTGACAGCTTTGTAAACATCTGCTCAGTGCTGTCATTTGTCCCATCCCCAAGTAAATGGTAGACCTCAGCTTCTCTGGGTCCAGAGCAGAAATGTTGTCCTGCCCTTCCAAACCATTAACTCAGATGTAGATGAGGAAAAACACTCTCAAAGTCACAACTGCTCCCTATACTCACATCCTTTCATTCAATGATTATATTTTTCTAACAACCATTTCAAAACTCTAATCTATTTTTTTCCACTCTGATTTTTAACCATGTGTCATTAATCATGTAGGATGCAGCCTGCTGCAAAAATATATTTAATGAATTTGAATACACTTGACTATATGGGGACGCCATTGAGGGCAGTCACCCTTTATTCATTGGTGTTAATGGACCCTTTTCTACAACCCTGCTCTCTTATTTCCACTGGCTGAGGTATGGCCCCTCTGCCGTGGTCCATATGGTCCTTCCACCGGCCAGCTAGAGAGCTTCAAGGCCTTCAAGCATGGGCAGACCTCCCCAACCAGCAATGAAAGCCAAATGACCCCAGATCTAGACCTTGGCTTCTGGACCAAGACAGAGATAGTAACTCAGCGTTGATGTACCTAGAACCAAAAAGATTGTTGATGTACCTAGAACCAAAAAGACTATATGAGGAAAGATAATATATATGTATATGATAAACAGAAGTACGGAAGTCACTGTTATTTAACTGGCTTGATTCCCTTTGTAAGGTCCAGCCGCTCTTGGAGCAGCTGCTGTGATGATTTGGGGCAGATGCCTGGGTGTATAATTTTTTTTTCAGCCACCATTGTAATGTTGACACAGATATACATCCACTTATGTGTATATATAAACTGTAATCCTCTGGCTTTGTTATCACTGAAGTTTCTACGGTGTGGGTTCAACGTATGTACTTTGACGGTAGTTTTGCAAATATGCTGTTTTCTTGGTTCATCTCTCTGCCTTCATTATTCCAACATGTCTGTACAGTTTTTATTTAAACTCAAGGTCTCAGTGCCATGACCATGTGCTAAATAGAATTTATTGGTCCCAAAATCTTTTACAGAAACACATTTTGAACAGGGGAAATATTTTATCTACCAGATAATTAATTAACAAATGATTGCTCTTTTTTCCTATGAATCTGGTTTTTAAGTTCCCTGGGCTAATTAAAATCAAAAGTGCCATATTCACCTTTTAGAGAAAAGGTCTGGTGTTTGCTTTCAGCCCAATTGAAACAATTTTTGTACTTTTTTCATCTGTAAACCGCCAAAAGAAAAATTTATACCAATACTTTAGTGTATATAAATGTGCATATGTTTTAACAAAATCATAAAGATTTATGGAAATGCAGAGGCATCTTTAGATCTGAGGCAGAGGCTAGAAAAACAAATGGTGGAGGATGTGTTAAGCTGTCTTCTCAGTTCTGTTTTAGCTAACTTTCTAGATTTTAAATGAAACGGAAAAATGGCATTAGCAATCTGGTTACCCTGAATTTATTTTTCTTTTGAGCTGTACATTTTAAAAGATGCATGGGCTTAGGAAATGAATTCTAACATAAATTACTCCTTCCTTGCCCTCCCAAAAAAAGATTTTATGACTAAGTGAGTGAGTAAAATTTTAAAAGATCTAATTACAATAATTATGAGAAAATCAAATCTAGAAACTTCAGATTGAAATCTCCAATTCCTGGCGTTATTGGCAGTGGTACAGAAATTCGTCAAATCATCCTTTTCTCCGAATCATAAACTATCACAGTTGGAAATGACCCCAGAGGACATCTGGTCCAACCCATACTGGATACAGTTCCCTAGGACAGCTTCCCTGTGTGGGGTCACCCAGTCTTTGCTCAAAGACCTCCAAGCTTCCCAGACAAATCATTCCAATTTCGGAAAGTTCTGATTGTTAGGAAGATTTTCCTGACCTCAAGTCTCGATTGACCTATTTGCAATTTCTGCCCTCTGGGGCCAAACAATAGATCTGATTCCTTCTGAGTCTTCTCTGCCCCAGCCTCGACAGCCCCAGTTGCTCCAGTCAGTCCGCAAAATACATAAACTCAAAGACCAACATCCTGGTTGTCCATCCCCTGGATGTTGTCCAAAACGCTGTTTCGGAGAGGCTTTCCAAAAGTTCATTGTAATAGAAATAATATTGAACTGGGACTGCTCCCCGCTAGGTGATTCCCTTTCCTGATCTAACCCTCAGTTTTCTGGCCTAAGAAATGGCAGTTGAACCAGATGACTTCTGGTCGTTCCAACTGGAAAACTCCATGGTCCAATGCTCTTTCCTCTCCCACCGCCATCTTCGTGCTGTGAGCATCGCTGTTTCCAATATCTAAATGTTGCTCTTTCTGTCATGTGGTCATGAGCTAACAGCCTTTGAAAGTGTGTGTTCTTGGATTATTTTCTCACAATTGAAAAAACTGACTTTGTTACTTATGTGGTGATGATGGTGTTTTCTTTTCTTCTGATTTTATGAACTCTGTGACTTTCTTAATGTTCTTTGTATTGTTAATGTAACTCCCTCTACGTGTCCTTTGAGTGTCCCTGGAAATTTGCCTTTGATTTCTAGGCAGTGAGACCTAGCTCTCTTAGAACATTCTGTGACTACTTGTATGTTGTGTCGTATATAACCTTGACACTGTGATCATCGTTTGAAAGACCGTAAAAGATGGAAGCATTTCTTTCCCAGCTCATGTGTTCAATAGCACGGATACCAATCAACCGAATTAAAACATCATGGCTTTCTATACTGAGTCAGCCTCCACGCGTCTCAGTCTGTTCACTGTCCTGGGCCTTCCGGTCTCACTCTCTGCACCTCCCCTGGGCTGGGTCTGTGGGGCTGGTGGATGGAATTCCTGTGCGGCCAATGGGACTTTGCCTGAGGGCACTGACATTCGAAGGGTGCATTTCCTCCCCAGGCGACCACCCTTGCCGCTGTCATGACCACCGACCCCAGGGCCCTTTGGTTCCCCTCAAGCCTGACACACACCTCCATCCCTCCTTCTGTGGTTTGGAGCCCCTCTCCCCGCTTCCATCATCAGGGAAGAAGCCACTCCCAGGCATAGTGCTCAGGTCCCAAGCAGCCAAGGCAATAACTCTCCCTCTTTTCTTCCATCCTGGGGGTAATGGGGGGATTACACAGATTTTAGCCACTCCGTGGGACACATGCCAACTGCTCCGATGGGAGTTAAAGGACCAGGTTTAAATCTCAGCTTATTTCATTTCTGAGCCTCAGTTTCTTTATCTATAAAATGGGAGCGATAATGCTCAGACAACCTACCTCACTGGACTAATGTGAGAAAAGTACTCCATAACCTTGCAGGTAATAGAAATAGTAACAGTTTATATTCATCATTTAAGGTTGGCAAAGAACCTTACACACGTTATCTCTTACACATTCTAGCTATTATTACTCACATTACTGAGCCTCAAAACAACCCTTTGAGATGGCTGCTATGATGATCCCCATTTTACCAATGGGAAAACTGAGACCCAGACAGGTTAAGTGACTTGCCCAGGGTCACACAGCTAGTAAGTATGTGAAGTGGGATTTGAACCCAGGTCCTACGCTCGTGCGCACGCGCGCACACACCCAAAGTCTCTATTATCTTAGTGTAAATTATTGACATTGCAAGTGCTAAATCATGAAGCTATGGGACATTTTGAGTCATGAGGTGATGCTGGGAGCCTGGGGGAGGGGTGGGGTGGCCCGGGCTTGACTCACGGCAGGTACACGTTTTGTTAAAAACAATAATAATATTAATAATATGACAATAATAATGGGAAATGAAGCAGCTGATAATAGCATTTTTATAGTGTGCTAAGGTCTGCAGAGCACTTCACATACACCGTCTCACCAGCCCACGAGGTAGCGTCTGTGATTGTCTCCATTCCACAGATGAGGTAACTGAGGCTGAAGGAGTTCAGTGACTTGCCCTGGGATCCATCGTGTCAGAAGCAGGATTTGAATCCAGGGCATCTTGACCCCACGTCCAGCCCCATTCCACCGGCTCTTGCTGCCTCTTGGAGAGCGGGAGTTCCTAGCCGGCTGCCTTCTCCCCAGACTTCCTGCTTGTGCTAACGGGCCCCAGGTCTTCCCACTTCCCCGCCTGCCTTCTCCTTTCCTAGCTCAATTCCCTGTTCCTTGTTGAAGCCCGTAGGCAGCGTGGCGGCTCCAGGCGGGACCTGGAGTCAAGAAGGCCGAGTTCAAATCCAGCCTCAGACGCACACTAGCTCTGTGACCCTGAGCAAGTCACTTAACCTCTGCCTCAGTTTTCTCACCTGTAAAATGGAGATAATTATAGCCTCTGTCTCCCAAAGTTGTTGAGGGAATCAAATGAGCCATATTTGTAAAGCATTAGCACAATGCCTGGCACATAATAGGTACCTAATAAACGCTTTTCCCCTTCCTCCTTCCCCCCTGCTCTCTTCTCAGTAAGCCCCTTACATTTAACCCTGTACTTTTCCAATAATACTCCTTCCACTCACTGGCTTTCAGTGAGCCAGGGCTCTGCCCAGCAAACACACCATTTCACCCCCACAGCCACCATCTGCCGTGGCTTTCCAAGAGTCCTTCCAGAACATCTTCTCATCTGTCCCTTCTCTCTCCCCCCCCCCCCCAATACAGGTCCATCCCCTGGACTAATGTCAAACTCTCCTAATTGGTCTCTCTGCCTCAGTTCCCCAAATCCGCCCTTCATCGAGCAGCCAGGCCCCAGCTCCTTGGCATTGAAAGTACTTCCAGCCTCTAACGAGGCTCGTTACATGGACACGCGCTGTGCTTCAGCTGCACCGGCCTCAGTCCTGTTTTATGTCTACAAAAAGTCATTTCCCACCTCCGTGTCTTTGTCCCCCACACTTGGCAGGCTGTGCCTCCTGCACCACCCAGCTGCCTGCAAGGCTCTGCCCTCGTGCCCCGCCTGTCCCCCAGAAAGCCTTCCCTTCTAGAGGTGGAAGGGTCCCACCGCAGCACGCCGCCTCCCCCAAAATGATCACTGTATAGGTGTCACCCAGGAGAAGGTAAGTTTGCAGGCAAGGCCGCCTTCCTTCAGTATCTCATCCTTGGATGGATTGAAGAGTCACAGAATTAGGGCTAGAAGGGACCTTTGGACCCAACCCTCTGGTTTACGTATTAAGAAACTGAGGCCCAGGAAGGGGAGGCATCTCTCCCAAGGTCTTCTAGGCGGGCCAGGATCGGAACCCAAGTCCCCTGGGATCCCAGGGCAGCTTTCTTGCCACTAAATGGTGCTCTTTGCTTTGCGGTCCAGGCAATATAGAGCGCATAGGCCACTAGACTAGGCAGGGGAAGAGCTGAGTTCAAGAACCACCTTGGGCCCTAATGTGTGACCCTGGGCAAGTCACTGAAACACAGTTTCTTCCTCTATCAAATGAGGGGTTGCTCTGGCCTCTCCCAGCTCCAAGTCTGAGTCCGTCCACGCTCTAGCGTTCTCTGCCCCCGCTGGGCCTCGGGCCCTCTCAGCTTCCCCTGACATCCACAGTTAGCTGCACCCTGTCGTGCCATCCCCTCGATACAGACTTGTTTTGAACACCCCCTCTCCCATCACTGGACAACCAGAGCAGATAAACACCGAGGCAGCTAAGAGTGAGTTGTGGGATCTCCGATCAGCAAGGGACGGGCCTTCGAAGCCATCTACGCCCGACCCCTCCGTTTAAAGCAAAAGACGCAGGCCCCAAGAGAAGGGACTTGCCCAAAGGGGCAGGCTTCGAATACAGAGCCTCAGACTCAGTGTAGGCCCCACGCAGCAACTTTCAATGAGTCCATACCATCCCTATTGAGTTTGTGTCTACTAGCTGTAAGGCACAGTGCCGGGCACTGAAGGAGGAAGGGGGGAAATTAGAGCACAGGCCCTGCCTTCATTGTCTCCAGAGGGGCCGTGAATGTTGAGGAGCCTGGGACGGGAGTCCACCCCCTCCCTTTCCAGATGAGGAAACAGGGAAGGGACTTCCTCTACAGTTAGTGAAGGTTAGGGTGGGTTTTGAACCCAGGTCCTTCAACCCCAAATCCACTGGTCTTGTCCCTGTGCTAACAATAACATGTTTATAACGCATAAAAGGTTTGCAAAGTGCTTTATTAGTATTACCTCCTTCTATTCTCACAGTCCCTGGGAGGTGGGTGCTATTTGTTATCCTATACTACAGAGGAAGAAAATGAGGCAGACCGGTTAGTTGACTTGCCCAAGGTCACGCAGCTAGGAAGCATCTGAGGCCGGATTGGAGCTCAGCTCCAGCTTTCTATCCAATGCGTCACCGATGCATCACCTGTGTACCCCAAATTCAATGGGGGTTCCCATCTTACGCCTCCAAGTGAACCTTTGGGGGAGCTTGAGCTCTTCAGATGGGGTCGGCGGCACAGTGCCCAGTGAATACAAGATAACTGGAGGCAGAGAAAGCATCAGGCAGGGGAATTGGGGACGCTTAGCTGCAAATCCTGTGACCTTGGACAAGTCCCCTTCCCTCAAATGGAGGGTGATAGGAGGAGGGGGTGGGGAGATAAACTATGGAATTTCTTTTGTTTCTAAATTCTCCATTTTAGACATTCTTTGGGCCCCCAGAACCATGATGATACACCTTATTTTGCCCCAAATTTAAGAACAGAAGGCCCAGAGTTCAGGACATGGAGTGAAAAAAGGGTATGTGATCTAGCAACACATAATTACAGGTTTTAAAAAAGCTATTTAAAGAATTACTTCCTGACATTTCTGCTGCCGAATCATCCACAGGTAATAGGACAGGAAAGAACTTTAAAGCAAAATAAATCACCAGTGGGAGGGGTGCCAAGGGAAGAAGCACCAGCCTCGGAGCCAGGAGAGACCTCGCTGTGAATCTTGCCTCTGCCCTACACTGGGCGGGCACCTGGTCACCCAACCCCTGAGCCTTGCTTTCCTCGTCTGTAGAATGGGGCTAATAACAGCATCTACCTCCTTAGCTTATCGGGAGATTGAAAGAGACAAAGGAAGAACAGCCCCCCCGGCCAAGCGTCCACTTGTGGGGGGCTGCGGGACTGTTAGTGGGCTTTGCCTTCCTCCTCTGAGCTCCCCAATGGGGTCCAGCCGTCAATCAGCCCACGTTTAATAAATGCCCGCTAGGTGTCGGAAACGGTCTGTACCCTCAAAGAGCCAACGACGCCAATGATGCAGAAGGTTTAGGGAGGGTTTTGTCTCAGACCCAAGAGGTGTGGACAGTTTGGTAGGAGATCGTGGATTTGCTGCTGAGGCCCTGGGTTCAGATCCTGCTCCGTCACTTATACCCTGTGAGACTTTGGGCATTAATAGCAATAGCTTGCATTTCCCTGGTGTTTTAAGGATTGCAAAGCGCTTTACAAAGATGATCTCCTTTGAGGTAAATGCTATTACGATCCCTATTTCTCGAAAGAGGAAACTGAGGCACAAAACAAGTCTCTTTCTCTTGACCTGAGCCCCAGCTGCTTCCTCTATAAAATGAGGGGCAGTCGTTGGCCTCTGTGATGGGGCCCCTCTGTGATGAGGCCTGAGAGCCTGAGAGCCCAGTGTCTCCAATGACAACAGCCTTATTTCTTACATTTCACAGTCTCCAACACTTTGTGACAGAGCAAAGCTGAAGTGGAAAGCTGCCTCCCAACCGCCTTCCCCGGGCTCACAGTCCCTTATCTCGACTAGATTAGATTGCATAAGCTTCCCTCTCCCCCAGGCTAAGGTTGGAAGGCTCCCTGGGCTTCCTGGCTTCCCCCTCCCGGCCAAGCTCAGCGGGGCCAGGCACTTAGCGAGCCCCCCACTGTTGGATTCCCGCTGGGGCCCTGCCATGCCCTGGGGGGATTCCTCCTCCTTCTCTGGTCCCCCAAGCCCTGCAGAAGCAGCTTGGGCAAGGAGAGCAGCCCCCCACCCACCCACCTAGCACAAATCAGGCTTCCTGTTCATCCTGGTGCACCCCCAGCAAAGAAATCCACATTTCCGGGAGGCTGGAAACTGTCCACAGCCTTTGTTCCACCTGGAGAGTAGCAAGTAGCTAGGATTGGAGGGGATTGGCCTCTCGTGCCAGCCGTGCCAATGGCTTCCTAAGGGAGGCAAGTTCTGCAGAGCTACCGGGTACCTATGGGCTGCCATCCAGGGCCTGAGCCAGGGAGGGGGTGCAGGCATGCAAGGATGAGACACCAAGAAAGGCACAGAGGGGGAAATGGAGCCCAGCCCTCCCTTGGCTGGCCTTGTACATGTGGAATCTTACAAATTAAACAAAGATCAAAGGATTTAGAGGGGGAGGGGCCTTCAGCATCTGGTCTAGTCCAATGCCTTCTTTTTAAAGATGAAGAAATGGAAGAGTCAGCATTTCTAGGACTGTTATCACCGAACCGCTGTGGTATATTCTTGCACGTGCAAAAAATGAAAAAAGGAGGGAGAGACTGACCCTCTCTGTCAGGGAAAGGTCAAGAAGTCCCAGGTTTGCAAGGCCTGAGGCTGCAGGAGATCTGGGGAGATCTGCTGGGCAGGAACCCAAGGGAAGCCTGGAGCACCTGGGACAGAAATCCTGGAAAGATTAAAAAGGCCTGCAGTGTCTGCGCTCTGCTCTAGCTTGGGAAAGCCTCGCTGCTAGAGTCAGTCTTCCAGACCCAGAACCGCTCAGAGCCTTCCAGCTCTCAGTTTACCTTCCAGTTCTTCTCTGTAACAACCAGGTGACCACCGGGTGGTCACTGCCCCTGGAGTAAGTCTGGAAGTGCCCTGAGGGCAGGGACTGTTTTGGCCTTTCTTTGCATCCCGAGTGATAAGCAAAAGCACTGCCCAGCTCTCATGCTAAATGCTGGCTGACTGAACAGTGAAATCAGCTGAAGCATCTTTTTTGTGTAATGTGTAAATGTGATGAGTAGAGGGGGCCAAAGATGAAACCCACCACCCACCTTGAACCAGAGAGGAAACCTACTTACAGGCCACCTTTGGAAATGGCTGATGTGGGAATTCGTCTGGAGGAATTCTACACATCTGTTATGAGGGGTTTATTTTTTATTGGGGGACGGTAGGATGGAGGGGTAATAATGTTAAAAAACTAATGATTAAATAATTTTTTTAAAAATATGTTAAGTATATACTGACTTGGGAGCCGAGGGGCCCTGGCCTCAAGTGTTTTTCACTTCCTATCCACCAGTGTGACCAAGAGATTTAGGCAAGTGCCTACACCACTCTGAGCCTCAGTTTCTTCATCTGTAAAATGAGGAGCTGGGTTGGACTAGATGACCTCAGAAGTTCATCCCTGATGCTTTGGGGCCACAGGTGACTTGCCTCCTCCAATTAAGTTCTATGGTCTCTGTGGACAGACACCTTGCCTTTGGCATCCTCTGTTTCTGTCCCCAATATTTGTGAAGTACACAAATAAGTAACCTTAACAGTTAACAAAAGAGTTCCAGCAACCCAAGGGCAAGTAGGTGGCTCAGTGGACAGGGCACTGGCCCTGGAGTCAGGAGGACCTGATTTCAAAACTGGCCTCAGACACTTAGTGTCTGTGTGACTCTGGACAGGTCACTTAACCTCTGTCTGCCTCAGTTTCCTCATTACTCAGATGAGCTGGAGAAGGAAATGGCAAACTACTCTAGCATCTTTGCCAAGAAAACCCCCAATGGGGTCACGAAGTCCTGAGCCATATCCTTTCCAAAAGCACAACTGTCTTTTATAAAGGCATATAGAGGATAAGGAGACTTCAGTCACAACCAGGAGTCACAGCTAAGCCCAGAAGCAGGGCTGCATCAGCTTCAAGAAAACCCAAACCACCCGCCATCCTTCTGCTCACGTATTCTCAGATTTAGGAACGTGCTTATATTTACCCAAGGCTTATATTTACAGTAACGTCTTCTCAAACCAAGCTGGAGAAACGTTTTCAAATGGCAGCACCCAAAGCCCAGGACCAGTGATGCCCTTTCTGTCTTTACTTGGGAAACCCCGCATTTAGCAAGGACTCCCAGAAGGCAGACACTCCCCTTTTTGGTGCTCTAATTAACGAATGGTTTTGGAATGGATCCCGTAGAAATAGAATGAGATTAACCCAAAGCCTTAACACTTTGTCACGCTCCAGGAGAAAGGGCCTTAGGACTCACCCGGATCTTCTTTGCATTTTCTGCACTATAAGGAATCCAGGTAGGGGTAGAGATTGGGTTTACAGCCTTCATTACAGTCAGATTTAAAAGGGGGGAGGGCCTAAGTGCCTGGGATGCATGTTAGTTTTATAGAACGGTTTTCAGAGTGTAGGCAACGTTTTGTGGCCAAAGCAGCACAACTGAAGGTGGACCCCTTCCAGGGCATTGTGGACATGTTTACAACCAACTGGTCTGATTAGATTACTCTGCGTTGCTTGGAGTCTGTTCTGCTCTTACAAGAAAAAATGAAGACAGTTGCAGAACTTTAAAAAAAAAAAAAGGTGTTATTGTTGAGACAGTCCTTAAACAAACCAGCCCAGATCCCAAAACGGCAAATACTCTCTTTTCTAAGCAACAGTTCAGAAAGTCTTAACTTCTCCTCTCCTCTGAGCTCCAGGAAGCCTGCTGGTAGTCAGTCCTGCATTGTGATGGGAGTTCAAAGCCTGCCTCGGACATATCCTGGTAGTATGACCCTAGCCAAGTCACTTATACTGTCCATACCTTCTCTAGTTGTTGGCCTGTTTTCTCCCTCATTAGAATGTAAACTCCTGGAAGGCAGAGATGTGGCTTTTGCCTTTCTTTGTATTCTCAGGGCCTGGCACACAGTGGGCACTTAGCCTAGGTAGCATTAATTTGATTTCACTCAGGTCCTTGGGCATCTCTCCAAGCCCAAAAGGTAGGCAGTGGCTTTGGAATCTGCGGATCTCAGTTCAAACAGCGCCTGTCTCTCATAAGCTTCATCTCACCCATAAAATGAGCCTCTGAGTGCCCGTCCTCTTGAAAATCTCTGATCCCAGGAAGATGATTTGCATTGGTGGATAAATTTCCACACTGGGATTTCCCTACACATGAAGTTCCCCAGTCTGGATAAAAACAAAAAAGCACACCACACTTCAGTGTGCTAGAATTCTGCCTCACCCTTCCACCCCAACAAGAAACACCACCTTGGAGAAAGGGCCTTCCAAATTGAAACATGGAACCTTCTTGATTTAGGTGCAGGTCAAAAACATCAGCTGCTTTATTTACTGGTGGCCTTATCACCTGGGAATAAGTAAACTGCAAGAAACCAGCAACATAGCCCCAAGCACCAGTTCTGGGCATGACCTGTACTAATTGAGTTTACAATCAACAGAAGAAAGCCGGCACTCGCAGCAGATGTGGACTGTAGAAACATATGGACGGG